ACAGAGACAGGAACAGAAGAGCTTAAAAGAGCCAGGCAGAAGTCAAGAAGGGATCTCCCTCTTTCCAACCTTAACAACCTTCCTATTTGTAGCACGCTTGAGATGTAATACACTGCTTTTTAAACTTAATAATATTAAACCTTTTAGACTTTGTATAATAATTATTCCATAATTAAATAAGTTCTTTAATGTAAATATATGAATTTTGTTAAATATGAATTAATGTTTTTGAAATTATCATGAGATTTTGCTAGAGGTCATCAATTTTATATGATTAGCTAGAAAGAAGAGCATAAAGAATCAAGGATTTTTGATAATAATAAATGAATAATTTTTAAAAAGGTTTTTCTTTCAAAGGAACTTTAAAAATGAGAAATTGCTTATTATTTATTTTTAAATTTATTATTTCTTCTTATGGTAATATTGGCATCTTTTGTCATCTGAGATGGGAAAATGCAAGAAAAATAATCCAGTTCAGCCAAATTGCACAGATTTAAATAGATCTGTAACAAATATTGAAAAATTTTTCGGAGGTGTCCCTTTTTGTTTGTAAGAACTATGGAGAGATTTAGATAAGCTAGATAGTGGTGTAAGGTGTCTATAAGACATTCCTGGCTCTCACGCCATGCATGGAAGCTTATTTCAGAGACAATATTGAGAACCACATTCAATACCTCAAGATCATGCCAAGACGCATGAAGGCAAAGGTTCAGATAACAGCTGAGATTCTCTTTCCACCTGTGTTTCCCTGACCTATATGAATGACAAGAAAACTGTCTTTTATAAAGTAATTTTCTTCCTATATCTTTTCACATCTCACCACTGGAATAGCAACAGATGTTACACCTGAATGGATTACAGTCCCCTTAAAAAATAAACTACTACCTAGGAAGCACATAAAAAATTATCATCATGGAAAAGTATGGAAAAACAAGATTGATTTCCTGAAATCACATACAAAAGTAATTTCTACTACTATTCACTTTTTTTGTCTGCTTCTTGTTGCTGATCTCTCTTCTAAGAATGTGGTAAGACTGGGCTCAGTCAAGGCTAAAGTTCCAGGAGCTGAGACCAAGTGGGAGAGAAGGGAAGAGAAAATAAGCTTTAGCTGAGGAACAAAGAGGGATGGACACACATGTCGCAGATGAGGGTGTGGGAGGCAAATAGAGTCAAAAACCTTAGGCTTAAATGAGAGTGGGGAATGAAGAACAATCAAGGTACCCAAGGCAGGCATGGGAGATAAAATGTGTACAGATTTCCAGACATATGGGGATCTACACTGCTGGAGTCCTGTGTACTGGGCCACAGTTGAGCCTGTGAGTGAAGTAGAATCATGAAGCTGAGCTGTTCTTACAGTTATAAGTATTCAATTGTCTCCTTCTCTCTAAAAGCTGTAGAAAACAAATGAGGAATAAAACAATAGTTTTGCAGAAAAGAGTGCAATGAAAATAAATCCAATTTGCAAACCAAAGAGCAATTTGCATTGTTGGGTGCTAAAAATAAATTAAGTAACCAAATTACTCCAAGTTTAATAAATCAAAATGGTATCTTGCCTCAAAAAAAACTAATTCCTTGCACAGTTTATGGATATCAAAATGGATTTATCATGTTGTTAAAATCTGAGGTTTTATGCACCTCTGCCAGTAAAAATTATGTCTGTTATTGTTAAAGGTTGTCCCAGATGTAGTGATTTTATTAATCAAGATAGAGTAGCTTTTACCTTGGTAATAGATGAACCATGATGCATCAGTTGCTTAAAACAACAAGGGTAAATTTCTTGCTTACAATACATGTTCAACGTGATTCAGTAGTACAGCTGTTCTGTTTCTTGTAATCAGGTAAGGAAAGCTAATGTGATCCTCTACCTGGAGCATAGCTGGTAGTCAGAAAAACCTGCTAAGAGGAACAGAGAGGCTTTTCATCATCTCTGCATGAAGCATGCAAAGCACATCCACACACAGTTCATTAGTCAGAACCATCTCCTGGTCCTGCTATATGCCGTGGGGATTTAGAATATAAACTCTCATAACAAGGATAGAAAGGAGAACTGTAATTTGTGAATACTGATGATTTCTACCATGTGTGATAATTTAAAATAATAAAGGAAGATTCTTGGCAAAACATCTTCTAGAGAAAAGAAACATAAGGAAAAAGAGAAAGGAGGCAACAAAAGTGTTTGATGACATGTACATAAGAAAGAAGACCAGAAATTTATTTTCTTTCTTTCTTTTTTTTTATTGGTACCAGGGATAGAACTCGGGTCCTTGTGCTTGCACAGCAGGTGTCAAAATCACTGAGCTAAATACCCAGCCAACCAGAAATTTCTTAAGAGCAATTTAAAATTAGGCATTTTAGTTGCTCCATGATGTACAGTTATTGCACATTTGAGATTTCCTTCAAACACAAAATGAATAAAGAATATTTAGCGATTAGGTACGTCAAAGTTAATATAGTTTTTAAACAGGGTAATACAGAATTCTGCCTTCTAGAAACTAGGGAGAAAAGAAATAACAGTGAAATTAGCATTTAGGTGGGGCACACTGTCGAGGTCCTATCCCCATAGAGCATTAAGCCTCAGTCTAAGTTCAAAGCATGAGCAACCACAGGAACGAGATTTTATGACAAGCTAATGAAAAAGACAAACAAAACAAATGAGAAAGGAAAACTCAGAAAGTTCAAAGGACAAAAATGTACAATTTTTAAGTGAGTAAAGAACTTGTTTTACTTTTTAATACATGTTTCCTTACATAATGTTTACATTCCTTGTTTGGAGTTGGTACATGCACATGAAACAACTTAATTCCTTTTCTCACTCTCTTTCCCTCACTCTCCATCCCCTATCTCTTGGTCCCCTTCTCATTTGAGAAAGATCTATCTCCTGACTTCCTGTTATCTGTCTTTTATTTTGCTCTTTATTTATACTTTGGGTTTCTCATATAACAGAAACTATGTGATATTTAAGCTTGTGTATCTGATTTATTTCCCTTAATATTATGTTCTCAAGGCTCATCAATTTCCTAAAAATAATTCAAGTTTATCTCTCTTTATGGCAGACTCCATTGTGTGTAAATACCGCATTTTCTTTACCCACACATCTGTTGATGGACGACATATAGGTCACTTCCAAGATGTAGCTCCTATGAGGTATGCTGCTGTAAACATGGGCCAGGGATTTAGCTCAGTGTTTTCACCTCCTGCTGAGCAAGCCCAAGGACCTGAGTTCGATCCCTGGTACCAAAAAAAAAAAAAAAAAACATGGATATGCATGTATCACTGAGAAATGGTGTCTTCAACACTTTCAGGAAGATACTTAGGGAGTAGTTGGGCCAATGGAATTTCTAATTTTAATTCTTTTAGGACTATTTTGAGGCCCACAGAAAGAATCTTAGGTGGCCATTCTCTTTCAACTTTTTAAGAAGGGAAAGACATGGCGTCAGGACCAATTCCAGTATGAAAATAACAAGGTTACGGTTCAAAGATATAGAAGATACAGAGAGATCAGAAGCCTGATCTGAAAAGGACTAGAACCCCATTGGAATCTACCAGTTTTGAAACTGAAGAGTTTTCTTTTAGCAGAATTTGCATAGATTTGGTGCATCTGCCTTTCAGGCTGAGACAAAGTAAGTAAGTCAGGATATGATTCTTAGTCTTAGCTCTATTTGTATTGCAATATAAAAAATCTAGTATTACTATTACTTCCAAAAGCTTTCTGGATTTTAATCATCACTGTTTGGATTTTTAAAATTTTTCTATTTCTTTGTATGTTTGTAGTTAAATTCTTGACAGCTCCAAATGGGGCTTTTTATTCCAGAAAATACAGTTGTGGTAGTGATAAAAAACCAGGCTCAGTTGCTAGCAGTCATAAACAGAAATGACAGTAAACATTAAGATTCCTTAGGCCCATGGAAGCAAAGAGAAGGTAAAGGGGTAGTCTAGAGTGGAACTGGACCCCAGTAAGTGGACTTTGCCTGCATTAACATGACCAACTCAAATTGGTTGGCAAAGGCCATTGTTAATGGGATTTCCATTCTCATATAACATTATCCATAGCTTCTCCCAGCCATGATGAGATTACAAGGTGGAGAAAGCAGGTCAGGTACTGGATTTCCTCCCACTGTGACCTTCTAGGCCCACCAGAAGTACTGTGAGCTTATTTTCTATTTGCATGTGCCAGTTACTGATTAAATTGTCAACAACCTAAGAAATAACTTCAACTGAATATCATTTGTTATGTCACCCCAGGTTAATACTGAACCATTGATAATATTTGTCAAAATCTGATATTTCATCTGTTTTTGCAGTGCACACATGGACAGTTGCTCATAGGGAATTAAGATTGTAATAGCAGGGATACTGGTCTTGACAGTTCAGTGAGAAGAATGTACAATTTAGCTTTGTCCAAGTCAGAATGACTTCTTATTTTAAAAAGAGGATCATTTCCATTCATGAAATTTAATTTATGAAGAGCTGAAGGTAAAGAAATGCAAAAGACATCCTAAAATGACAAGAAGACAGGAAAACATTCAAGATCATAAATCACTGTTTTCAATCAAAATGCACATAACTGAAATAAAGTTATCAGTGATTAACATAGGATTAATGGTAGAAAAAATAATACTTAGTGAAATACAAAAGTACATCAGCTTTTTACTGGGATTCAAAAAAAAATCTGACAAACAATAGCTTCACTATTCAACTGTATTCCTAGAGAAAGGAATGCTAAGAAGCAAGGAGGGAGATAAAACCTTTTAAAATTAAAGTACAATTATGCTTAACATGTGTATTGGGATTTCCTACAATCTAATGTTTGGTTTTTCCAGCTTTCTAGAAATACGGTTCTGTGGTTTGAGCAGATGTGTTGGTAGCTCTTTCTCTGACATCTTTACAAGTCCTGTAATTCCAATCAGGTAGTGAACAGCTGTTAAAAAGAAATCTACCCTTGAGTCTTGGGAAGGAAAAGGAGGCCTTGTATGCTACATTCATTTCTGACTTCATTCCAGGCACTGTGGTTCAGATCGGAGATTATAAAATCAGTAATCCAGAGAATACAATAATCACACCATCATAATGCTGAAAAAGGTTCAGCAGTTCTCTTTCCACATGGAGTAGGAGAGCTGAGACCAGAGCTCTGCAGTCGGACAGCTCAGTGAGCACACAGAGGCTTCATATTATCTGGGACAAGCAACCTCGGTAGGTCGGGATTGATTCTCAACATTTTGGTTCCAAGTGAGATCTGCATGCAGCTCCTATCATTTTAGTCTGCTTTTGTTCATCTGTATAACCCTTACACTGGGGGAAAGAAAAGAGTTTAGAGAGATATAAACCCATAGTTTTCAGGAAAAAAACTCAATAGAAAGCTGTTAGACCCTAAGACCAGCTGAGATTCTCAGCAGCTCTACTGCAGGGTAAACCCCAGGCTTGCTTCTCTACTGAGGCACTTCCACCACCTCAGCATTCCAATGGAAAACCGACCCAAAGACCAGCTCAAGGTCAGCATGGTAACCCATACCTATAATCCTAGCACTCTGGGTGGATGAAGCAGGAAGATTTCAACTCCAAGTCGAGACTGGGAACTTCGTCGCTTAGCAAGACTCTGTCTTAAAATAAAAATTTTAAAAAAGGCTGAGGATGCAACTCAGTGTAAAGGCCCTGGATTAAATCTAGTATCAAATATAGGTAGATAGTACCAAAAATAGGTAGGTAGGTAGGTAGATAGATAGATAGATAAATAGATAGATAGATAGATAGCCAGAATTGCAGGTCATTCATTCACCTTCTCCAATAGACTATCCTCTCTGGAAGCTGATTTGTTTCTAGGTGCAGAGATATCTATCCGATGAAGTATACTTTATAATACCCCATGGATTGTTAAAAAGCCATAGAGTTTATTTACATTTCTTCTTTCTATTTTAAAATCCTTTTTAAGTGTCTTTAAAATGTTCACAATACATTAAAACACTAGATTGCAAATAAAATAATGAATAAATATTGATATATGAGGGCATATTTGGTTGGTTTTTTAATTGGTAGAAGGATATACAATAAAAAAGATTCTAAAAATGTTGGAAACCCCCATTCTAGACTATCCACAGCCCCAGCCAAATGTTCCCAAGAAGGCAAAGTGAATTGAAAAGACCTTATTGCCATAATTACCTTCTAAGAGTCACTCCAAGGAAATTTCTTAACCAAAGATAGAGATCAGACTATATTAACAGTGGGGCAGAAGAAAGGAAGAAGAGGAAGGGAGAAACAATACATGGAAATTGTTGTCCTTACGTGATATTTTTCACTAACAAACACTTGAACAAAAGACCTAGACTGCCCACCTTTCTCATCCTCACCTCCATGGCATGCTCTACCTACTTTGGTATGAAGATGGTTGCTCTCAGCTAATCATCTGTTGAACCCAAGGGACAGCATCCAGACCAAAGGTACCCCGTGAAGGAAGGTGTGCATAATAAATAACTTGAAGATACCAAGCATGCTCAGGAAAATGAAAACTGCATGATTCATAAGATTGCATCTTATTCAGGAAAATGCAGTTGTGTAGTATGGTTCAGGTAGTTTGCTTAGAAGGCGTCAGACAGTGTGCATGGAAGACTGACCTCCTAATGCAAAGGACTGAAAACCGAAGGTCAAGTTCAAGATCACAGGGTCACCAGTAGCTCCTCAGCCAGATCCAATCTGCAGAGGTGGTGCATTTGGCCATATATATTTTAAAATTTTTTGAATTTTTTCTAAACATTCAATATATGTATAATTTAATACTGAAAAAGGTCCACATTTGGGGCTTCTCTTAATAAATAAAAGATCTGAAAACACTGGGCCTGCATTCCTGAAGCCACCGTGGGCTGTAGACAGTTAGGTTCCTTATGGAGAGGAGGCAGAGCCTGTCGTTGTCACTGAGTCCTCACAATATTACTATACATGTTCTAGATTCACAGATGCCGCAGTGGCACAGAGAGCTGAAAGGACTCAAGAAGACAAACACAAAACCCTGAGTGCTCAGCCTCTTTTCACGGTGCTTCCCCTGAACCCACCACCTACCCAGGCCAAGCTTCTTCCTCTGAATAAGTAATGGGAAGAATCTAAAGCAAAGAGAAAATATGAGGTAACTGCTTGCACTGCAATTATATTCTAGTTGGGAAAATTGGAGAATGGTTATCAGGTACCAGTGAAAAATAATATATTTTGAATGGAACTATTAACCAATCACTGTTCTTTTTTAGGTGGTTTATGCACTTTTGCACATACAAATTCCTACAGAGACTCCATTGGAAGGAAATAATTAGATCCTATTTTACAAATAAGAAATTAACGCATGGAGATAAGCCACTTGGATAAAGTCACAGCTAAGAAGTGGTGTAGTAACAGTGGGTCCTCAAAGTCTGGCATCAGTGGGAAGGCATCTAACTCCTGTGCCATGCCATAAATACTAAGCAGAGTGCTACAAAGGACTGATATGAAAGAGAGGGACTACAAAGCTATTTTAGATTTAGAGGCCCATAAAAGTCTTTCTCAGGAGGCATCAATTAAGCTGAGATCTAAAGTACACAACTACACTAAAACAGAAAGCAGTGAGAGCCTAGTAGGCAAAGAACATCTAATGTAAAGGACTGAAACTGGAGTGAGCTTGGCTGAGATAAGGTGACCAGCGTGGTTGTACTTTGATGAAAAAGGGAAATACAAATATGATGCTGAAAGGAGAAGCTATAGGCCTCATCCAGTAGGATTGTATAGAAGTTTAGATTTTATTTTTATTTGGGACCCAATGAATGGTTATAAATTGAAAAATGCCGTAATCTAATTGGCATTCCAAAAAGAGTTATGTCACATTTACCTGGGCTCTGTATAACCGACCTCAATCCATGTTTCTAGTTTCCTCCTCCAATATTTATTCTTCATACCTTTTGTGCTCTAACTTCAGCATCTTAGGACCTAGTATTATCCTAGGAAACCAACTCTGTGGAAGCAAAGCCCTGATTTATAGCAGTTGCCAATTTCTGTGGTGTAAATACATCCACCTAGCCAACTATAAGCTACTTAACAGTTGGACAACAGTTATTTAACAACCAGTTCCTAAAAACTAGTCAGTTATTAAGAACTGGGTTCTGAAGGCTTTAACTCTAACATCTTGGCCTGCTGCTGAAACTTACCAAGCCCTTGCCTGGCATGACTTTCTATACCCCATTCTCTTTGTCTATAAAACTTAATCATTCTACAGCTCTAATTAAGAAAAGGACATTGAGTTTCAGATAAAATTGGATTCAAATAGTAGCTTTGTCAATCAGTCATGTGATCTTAGGAAAAGTCTTTAATTTCTAAACCATGGTTAATGCATTCTTTACAAGGAAGTGTTCCTATCCCCTGCCTCAGGATCTTGCTGCATGAATGAAATGAAAAATGACAATCTAAAACATTCAACAGAATACTTGTAATATAATATTATATACTTCCTAAGAACCTTTTTACTCATCTTCTTTCCTTCACAGGCCTGTTTAGGAGCCGGTGAAAGCTATGAAATTTGTGAAGATTACCTTTGTATAGCCTGACTTGTGAGAGGTAGTACCCTGTTTGCCTTTCTCTACCTCTTATTTGCCTTCCAGGACTCATACAAGTAACAGTCTTTTTCTTCTATATAGGAAAGGAATTGCCACATTGTGTGAGATATGTTCCATATATAAAAGCAAATAGCAGCTAAAATATTAGCATTTATTTTATAATAGAGCTGCCTGATAAAAGCAACATCTTCAAGATTCTGGTAGTAGACTTTTCCTGCCATTGCATTTTGTCTTAATATTGGAAATTTGATAAATCTTTCTTTACAGATTGCCACTTGAGGTAGGTGATAAGTCTTAACCTCCTCCTGTCTCTATCTTTATTTACTAGAATCCTATACATACCTCATATTAATATTTAGTTAGATCAACATCAAAAGCAGATGCATTGATATGTATTAAACATGCAGCTTTTAGTGACAGATTTACTCTACTTTATGACCTTGTTTGAGCTCAAACGCTCTGAGATTTACCACATTAGGAAGAATTCAGTCTATAACTTATCTAAAATTCAATGGTTCCGTGTCATAAAATATTTATAAACCACCTCTAAAGCCAACAGAAAAAATACATTTGGCACTATTCTTGTGAGATTAAGACAAATAAATTTACGTAGTCCTCTCTAGCGAGTCAAAGCAGAGAATTAAGTCAACTGTATGAATAATTCAGAAAGAAAGTAAAGTGAAATAAAGCAAAACAAGAACCTGTAGTTTTTGAAAATACCAGAATTCACTAATTTATAGTCTTACCAAAAATCACTGGAAAAACATTGTGTTCTGTATTTCTGCTTAAGAAAACAGAAAAGTTGCATTTTCCTTTAATTTCAGAATTTTTGAAAAGATTCCATATCAAAATCTTGCTTAAAGAAATAGTCAAGCAAATAGTCACTCAAATGTGTATAAAAGTAACCCACACGCACTTGGTACTCACCAAGTGAGTATCAATCCTAATCAAATTTTAAAAGGTGTTTAAGAATACTGGAAATGAAGTCATCCATTAGACTGGATGACTGTATTCTGTCATTCCTTTAAATCCATTATACTTTAGTCAATATATTGATAGGTCCAAAATCTCAGAAGAGTACCTTCCCTAAAATATGCATATAAGGTACCCCAATTTTTAACTCAAAGATTGGCACTGCTGTGTTCTAAAACATCTTGCTGCATTGCCAACACATTTAAGGCAGCTATTTGTTAGTTCCTGAAAGCTAATATGCAAGCTATAATGTACTCTGAGCTTTGCAACCAATAAGGCTAGTGTTATTTGAACTGCTAAAGTGGTTGAATATCACTCTTCAGTAACACAGCCTCAGTCCAGAAACAGATAACAGCTTACTGCTAGGCATTTCATATCAACTGGTAAATTGTCACTCTGACCAGGGTCAAAAGAATTTTATCCTTACACACATTTCAGGCGACAATAAGTAATAATCCCCCAGCATTGCTTGTTATCTCCAGTTCCTTACTCAGAGATAATTGATACAGAATGTTTTCTACCATGCCTCACCTCGCTAATGATAGCCAATTTTCATTGTGGAACATGTGCAATTTAAATTATCAATCACATTTTTCTTGATTGGATCTTGCACACCTCTCAACTGCTTAGAAATAAGAGCTAACAAAATTGAAAGAGGATGTGGAAAAAACTTTTAAGAATTTAAAATCTTACATGCTGAAAAACATGTGCCCCTAGAACAGAAGAAAATGATTATATAAGTCTCTCACATTCTTTTGCATGCATGATTTTTTTTTATTCTGTAAAGTCTTTTAACACAAAGACTATATTATTGATTATCTGAAACTTCAAATATCTCTCAGGATAGAATCTTTCCTGTCTCAACTAACTCTGATATGGTGATTTAGAGTTAGTTCAAAAATTAACCACTGTCATTTTATCCTAGTTGTGTGGCAATTAAGCTGTCACTCTTGAATTTGTAGAATTCAAGTGCAAAATCTATAACATAGTCTCACCTAGATTTTGGAAAATAGATACTTTCTTGGAAAAAAAAAAAAAAGAAACCCACAGTGCTTTCTTGATACTGTCAGCAGTCCACCAAGAGAGTTTAATGATTCATGTTGCTGGAAAACACTTAGTTAAATATGACTGGTTGTTTTTCTGTTCAGAAAAGTCCACAGAGACAAGAAAGGCTGCTTATATCTGGGCACTCTTTCATGAGAGGGCCAGAAAACCCCACCCATCCCTTAGACATGTTGCACTTGGCTTGGGGTTGGCACTGGACCCCAGGCAGATTTAGTACTGAAGCTGTAAGATCCACAAACCTTTGAAGAAGCCCCAGCTGTACCTGTTGCTAGGAGTGAACCAGAAATCCCTGATGACTGAGGTCTTCCGGGGGTTTGCCATTCCTCAGGCTTTACTGGAGAGGTGGCTGCAGTGTGACTCAGCTGCGAGCCATGACCAGGCCTTCAACTGTCCTAAGGAAAGAACAGAGGAGCAAGAACTGAATGTTTGCTAATGCGACTGCCATCTGCCACTGTTAAGTCCTATGGTGACAGAGTGCACGTCAATGCCAGATAGTCTGAGAACACTCACCATCTGTTCATTGCCCTGAAATAAAATTAACTAGGTCATCTGGATTTGGAAGCCTTGCTGGAATTGTTGACATCTATTCCCAGCCTCCAGGGTGGAAATCTTTCCCCTAAGTTAACATCATTTATATTACCCAGGGAAATTGTTTCACTCTAATTCTTCTAGCAAAGAAAGCACAGTTAATTGATAATATGCTGATAACAATCTACGTGTTAACAATGAATAAAGGAATTTGTAGTCCCGATAGTATTTGTGAGCAATAATATTACTAATTGTTATCCAACTGAATCCTTCTATAGGGGAAAAATATATAATAAATTAATTTCAAGAAGAATATGCAAAATCTATATGGTCTTTATTCACCAGTTAATGAAATGTTTTTATTTCCAGGCACTCAGACTAGAAAGGAACAAGAAAGACCTTAAGACCTTTCATTCTTGTTTAACTACTCAAAATGTGGTCAGCCCTGTGGTAACAGAATCTAAGATATGACTGAGGTCTTCTGGTGGTTGAACAGTGGTAAAAATATTTTCATTCCCCTAAAAGAGGAGCAAGAGAAAGTTTTAATTCAATTTCTGCTGTAGAAAACATGATTTTCTTACTCCTTATGGCCCACCCTCCATCCTACTCCTCTTATCCTGTTCTCACATCTCTCAGTGTAGTGTTGATCAGGTCAGTATTAATCCAGCAGTGAATTTCAAATGGGTGGAAAAAACAGGAGAGAAGGAAAGAAAATGGGATGAATGGCTAAGTTCAGTTCTTTATATTGGTTCTGACCTGAATATAGTTCTCCCAAAAACTGTTTCTTAAAAGAGTAATTTAAGAGAGGAAGGTTACTTCTTGGAAGAGTTTTTGAGCATCAGTAGCAGAAAATAATAGTGCATTTAGACAAACTATAATGTGCAGATCTGCAATACATCTAGTAGAGCTGTCCTTAGGTCCC